GGAAAAAGTATATAATTCTCTAAACTTGTAATAACTTTTATGAAAGGTTTCTTTGAAATATATAAGGCTTTCATCTTACCAAAAAATATAATGGCCAGGATAGGTGGTGCAGGCTTGCAACTCCAGCTGTATTAGGAAGCTGAGATGCAGAAAGATGGGAAGGGGGCTGGTGAGATGGCTCAGTGGTCTAAAGCACCTACTTAGAACTGGTTTAGCAAAGCACAGGGACCTCGGTTCAATCCCCCAGCACCACATGCCAGCCAGCCCCGCCCCCTGTTGGGCTGAGCTGGCCACACACACAAAAAAATAAATAAATAAAATAAATTAATTAAAAAAAATTAAAAGAAAGATGGGAAGGTTGAAGCCAGTCTACGCTACAGCAAGACTCTCCATCAAAGTAAAAAAAATACGAAGGGCTAGGGATGTAGCTCAGTAAAGGTCCTGGGTTTAGTCCCCAGTACTGAGGGTGGGAGTGGGGGTAAGAAACTAAAAATTCCCACACTGTATTCACTGGCAAAGGTGTTTTGCACCATTCTGTTGTTAACAACTTGGATGCTGGGTCTGAGAGGGTATGCAGCTCAGAGAGCCAACTCTGGGGTTAGACTTGAGCTACCAAACTTTTCTGTGTGTTATTTGTCATCTGTAAAAAGGAGGTGATAACAGCACCACTTCACAAAGATGTGAGGAGGGTTAAAGATATTAACAGACAGGGCTGACCAAATAGCTCAGCAGATTAAAGAGCCTGCAAGCAGGCCTTGCCCGTCCCGCCCGCACTGGTGGCAACTGAGACTGGGCATGGGGCTGTAAACAGGTGGATTGAGTCCGATCTAGTAGTGATTCTGTTAATTTTTTTTTCTTTTATTTTAGGGAAGGGTCTACCCTGTTCACCCTGTAGACCCTTCCCTAAAATTAAAAAAAAAAAAAATTAACAGAATACTTAGAACAGTAAGCACTATGTAAATATTTGCTATAGTCATTACCAAAATAAAGAATTTATAATTTCAAGTTGGCATCCTGATAATCCAAAACCAGGTAAGACTTTGGCAGAGTAAAATTTATAGGGACAATTACAATTTTTTTGAAAATAGTTATCTGCATAGACGCTCTGGGAAATTTGGCTCTGTCATACAACAAAAATGAGTCTCAAGCGGCTAGTTAGGAGCTTTTCTCTGCCATTTGGTTTTTTAGGAGGTTCCTGATTTATATTTGGAGGTGAATCTTAATCTTCACTTAAACTGATATGGTGGTGCATGCCTGTTATCCTAGCACTCAGGAGGCTGAGGCAGCAGCATCGCTGCAAGTTTGAGGCCAGCCTGGGCAATTTAGAGATACTGGCCAAAATAAAACACAAAAAGGATTGAGGATGTGAAGATCCTGGGCTTGTTCCCCAGTAACAAAAAATTTTTTTTTCTATATGCTACTCATCAGTATAATGGTTCCTTGACATGGATAGCCAACATATACCACACACAGGTAAAAAGCATAGTTCTATTCATCTATAAACAATATATATGGGGGCCGGGGAGATGGCTCAGTAGACTAAGCACTTCCCTGGCAAGCGCAAAGGCCTGAGTTCAATCCCCAGTTCCGCCAAAAAAACAAAAAACAAAAACAATATGCATTTGTATGTGGACAGTGTAGTTCTATCCTGCACTAAAATTCAACTCAGGGGATAAAGACAAGATAAAGAGCAATCATTGCCGATATACAATGTTTTAAAAATATGGAGATATATAAGGGACAAGAAAATATGCATCTTTAAAAAAAGATTTTGTGGTGCAATATTAATGCAAAAAAGTATACCTTGAGTTTAAAAATTATGGAATACAAAACTTTTTTTCTTTTTGGTATTGGGAATCGAACTCAGGCCCTTCAGCCTTTTTCTTTCTTTCTTTCTTTCTTTCTTTCTTTCTTTCTTTCTTTCTTTCTTTCTAATGCTTTTTTAGACAGGGTAGGGTCTCACTCCGCAGTTTAGGCTAGCTTTGAACTCATTATGAAGCCCAGGCTGGCCTCCAATGATCCCCCTGCCTCATCTTTGAGTGCTGGGATTACAAGTGTGCCTGACCACATCCAGCTTTGGAATATAAAACTTTTTAATAATCCATTACTCTATATACCCAATAAGTGTGATCTATAAAACGTGTTTTGTGAGTACCCATTAGGCCAGTGGTGCACAAGGGAAAACAGTGTGGAGCTTTTAAAACACATGCTGTAAGTCCCATGCCCTTGAAATTCTTAAGCAGCAGATGTTAAGACCTAGTAAACACAGTTCTTCTGACTAAGCTCATCCAAAGGTGTAGATTCAAATCATTTTCAATTTCTGTCATTTTTTAAAAATTTTATTTTAATTTTATTGAGAAGTAAATATGAACGAGACAGTTTCAAAGCTGATTAATAGGATTTCTGTCATTTCTTGGAAAATAAATTTTAAATAGTATAAAAATCTGACTACCACTAAAATAAGGTCTTCATCTTTTAGTTTTTTTTTTTTTTAAAGTCATGGTCTTGCTATATAATTCAGGTTGACCTTGAAGTTTCCATGGAGCCCAAGCTGGCCTTGAACTTGTGGTGATCCTTCTGCCTCAGGCTCCTGAGTGCTGGGATTACAAGCACTACATGCACCAGCTTAAGATTTAGATATTAATAGTACCAACCATGTTTAACACCTTAATTTTTAAAAATGTTCTTCTTTATGGGAGAACAGCAATGAAATTTTTTTTTTTTTAGCAGAACCGGGGATTGAACTCAAGCCTTTGCGCTTGCCAGGGAAGTGCTTATTCTACTGAGCCATCTCCCTGGCCCCAACAATGAAAATATTGAAAGATGGGGACACAACAGATTTTGAAACCCTTTTTTCTTTTTTTTTTTTGACAGAGTATTATTTGGTTGTCCAGGTTAGCCTTGAACTCACAACCCTTCTGCCTCAGCTTGTCTAATACTTGGGAATATTGGTGCCTGCTACCACATCCAGCCTTGATTCTGAAACTTTAAGGAAACACAATCTGCAAATTATTATCTGTAACACACTCTAGAACTTATCTTTTTATCACCTTACATACATGCCACAGGCTGCATAATGACATACTGGTCAAATGTACCGCATATACAAAGTCGGTCCCAAAAGATCATATGGTGAAGCCACAGCATCCTTAGTTTATAAGCACATTCTATGACGTTTGCATAGTGACAGAGTTGCCTAACAACACATTTCTTAGGACAAGCTCTGATATACGATTATATTATACATGACAATAACTATTATCTCTGCTATTTTCATAATAGAGGCAAAAGGGTAAATAGAGAAAGCATTGTTAAATTCTTGCCACATTGTAGTATTCTGTTAACTTTCCAACAAATCTGTTTACTGCTATAAATGAAAGAAAACTAAGGAGTGATGCTAGGTATATGAGACAAGCCTTCCGACGGAAGGAGTAACCAGCACTTTTTTTTTTTTTTATTTTTTTTTTATTTGTGTGTGTGTGTGTGTGTGTGTGTGTGTGTGTGTGTCCAGCTCAGCCCACCAGGGGGCGGGGCGGGCTGGCATGTGGTGCTGGGGGATTGAACCGCGGTCCCTGTGATTTGCTAAGCTTGTTCTAAGTAGGTGCTTTAGACCACTGAGCCATCTCACCAGCCCTAACCAGCACTTTTTAATTAGTACGTGATAATTACAGAATGGGGAATTGGTATATGGATGGAACATGGCTGACTTTTTTTTTTTTTTTACTTCCTGCCTTTTCTTTTATTCTCCCTGCGCCCACCCCTCTAATCTGGAGTTTTGAGACAGGGTCTTACTATGTAGTTCAGATTTGCACTGAACTCACTAAGCAGCCCAGGCTGGCCTCCAATACTTGGCAATCTTTCTGCTTCAGCTTCCTGGGTGCTGAGGATTACAAACTTGTGTTATCACACCTGGCAAAACCTTTATTTTGAAGTAAACCAAGTAAAAGATGACATAATTTTATATTACAAAGTAACAAACTGGCTTCAGCAGGTTTTAATGATATTATACACCTTTTTTTCTTAAAATGTACGTCGCTACATCACAATCATTTTGGCACCACCACACTTCTACATGGAGAAAGGCAAACGACTATGTTGGAAATTTTTTCCTATAAAACCCATATACTTATTAATTATTAAGTATACTTAATGGCATACTTGGCAATTCTTTTGAAGTTTAAAACACTGATTTTGCTTTGAAATTCTATCTACTTCTACCTTTTCTTCCTTATCCCAATGTCCAAATCCTGTATCCAGGAGAGTGAAGTTAGGACAGGCCTTCCTGTGCAATGTTATACATGTACATATATGAACATGCATATGTGTATACTTAGCTGTCTTTATTTTTTGGCCTAATACCGAGGGTTTAACCCAGGCCCTACATATACATTGAATTACATTCTAGCCCTTTTAACATTTTTATTCTTTTTTTAAAAATTATTTATTTTATCTTCAGACAAACTCTTTAAATTTTATTTATTTATTTGTGTGTGTGTGTGTGTGTGTGTGTGTGTGTGGCCAGCTCAGCCCACCAGGGGGCGGGGCTGGCTGGCATGTGGTGCTGGGGGATTGAACCGCGGTCCCTGTGCTTTGCTAAGCTTGTTCTAAGTAGGTGCTTTAGACCACTGAGCCATCTCACCAGCCCAACATTTTTATTCCGAGACAGGGTGTTTCCCTTTTGTGATCCTCCTTCTCGGCCTTCTCGGTATTACCACCTCACCCAATTACTTACATTCTTTAAAAAAATAAAGCCATCATGTACATAATGCAATCATTAATTCAGTCTAGATGCAGAGCCCATTATTTTGACAACATGATTACTAGGTTCAAGGCTTAGAAAATGCAGCTCACTATATAAACATATTTCACCACAAGAAATCAATAATTTTCAAAGCTGGTAAGATTTAGTATCAATTCTTTTTTTTTCTTCTTTTAATAGAAACTACTGATAGATTCTTAAATACTTAAATCAGTAACAGTTGTGCTGCTTAATAGCTTACCTTGCAGCTTTGAAAAACTCTGATTTCTTGTGTGTTTCAGTGGTGAGCTGAATTTTCTGAGTCTTAGCCGACTTCCCAACAGGAATTCCAGTCTGATGAAGAATCAGCAACAGGAAGCCCTCACTGAGACATACACTGGTTATCACTCACTGAGTGGAGACGGTGGAAGAGTAACATATTTCTAATGGCAATGTACACTGTTAGTAATATGCCTGTAAAGTAAACAATGGATTTACCTTCTGGTGGCAGGAGGAACAATCAACTTTCCCCAAAAACCTGACTTCTTTCTGTTCAAAGCATTAGGTTTGACTCTAACCTACTTCTTTGGGATGGTATTCATTCCCCAATGATCACCCTATATCAGAAAAAAATGAATAAACCTTTACTGACTTTTGTATCATCTTTATCAGCTGATATCAGTCACCACCTCAAAGTGATGACAATCATCTGGAAATTTTGCTTACTCTATATAGAAATATTTCTCTTAAAATATTTGAAACGAACGTTTAATACTTTCAAGAAAACGTTTTTAAAAATGTCTTCTAACAAAGTGCTTCATAATCAATAGAACACAGTTACAGAAACTATCACCTATACAGTAATAAAACTCTTCTTTAAAAACACCCTGAAATGCTTATTGTTTAGTAGTTATTCTGAATTTGTTATATTTGTTTTTTTTTTTTTTTTATTTTTTTTTTTTTTTTTTTACTCTGGCTATCAATCAAAACCAATAGCCTTAGGTAGGTCTTTAAGTTTAAATTTAAATTCATTAAAATAACAAAATAGAATGAGTTCCTTAATCACACTAGCAACATTATCAATAAACAGTTACATACCCAGCTACCCTACAACACAGCATGGATCTAAAACACTTCCATCAGTGCAGAACATTCTAACTCTTAGCATTGTTCTAGTTGAAGCACCTCAAAGGAAAGCCAGCTGTTACCTGGTCTGAGGAGATGAGGGTGTGTGAAGGGGCTGGGCTGGCCCAAGTACCGGCAGGGCACCCTCCTCTTGGGCATGGGCTGGAGGGAGTACCTTCGCTGTGAACACCACAGACATCCTAAAATGAGAATAAAGAGGATGAAAAAGAGTGATGGGTCTAGGGAGCCCTCAGGGTTTTCATACAGTTTTCTAGCCATCTGAATGCTTAGAAAATGCAAATTAGCATTTCTTTTTCCTCTTCCAATATTTACAATGGCCCTTTCTCCATGTCAGAGCCTGTAGTGAGCCTAGAAAAACAGAAATGAGATGACTTCTTTGCTTACCACTTGAGCCTTCCACTCTGATTAAGGAGCTGTGAAAATGGACGAACAAACAAAAACAAAAAAGCCAAGAAAGAGTCTGGAGGTAACCTGAGGTTGGGTCTCAAAATTCAAGCAATTGTAATTAACAATTTTATTTATTTATTTTATGACAGAGTCGCCCTATCCCAGGCTGGCCTTGAACTCATGGCGATCCTCCTGTGTCAGCCTCCTAGAGTGCTGTGATTAGAAGCATGTGACACCATGTTCAGCTAAGATTTTACCCATGCTATCTCATTTAACCTTGGAATATTGCAGCTAGATAAAATAATCGGTAAAAAAATGCTAACCTATAGTTGGGAAATAATGTTAGCATTACTAGCTTTTTTTTTTTTTTTTTTTTGTGGTGGAACTGGGAATTGAACTCAGGCCCTTGTGCTTGCCAGGGAAGCACATATTCCACTGAGCCATCTCCCTGGCCTCAGCATTATTAGCATTAATTCAACAAAAATATACAGAGTGAATGGTTGAAACACTGAACAGGACACAAAACTATTCAATGCAGTCTTCCAGGAATACAGTCTAGGGCAGTGGTGGTAAACATGTGCTGCTGGTTACCACTGAAAGCTCGAAATGGTTTGCTATCACTGGTTTAGGTGAGGAGAGACAAAATGCAGCGTGATACTACTATATGGCGAGTACAGGGCTGGCCAGATAGCTCAGCAGAAGAAAGCACCTGCTTAGGCAGAGCGCCATGGCCGGGGTTCGATCCCCGGCGTGCTGTGCCAGCCCTGCCCCTGGTGCGTGCTGAGATGGCAATTGAGACTAGGTATGGTGGCGCGGGCTTGTAATCCCAGTGCTTGGGAGACTGAAAACAGGAGAATCACTATGAGTCCTATCTATGTAATGAGACCCTGTACTACAAATAATTTTAAAAATGTACTATATGGCAAAGGTGGTAGTGAGTTCATATACAAGGTGTTTTTTTGTTTGTTTTTCAGTGCTTGGGATCAAAAGGCAAGCACTGTACCACTGAGCACGGCTCCAGTCCCTGTACATGAGGTTTTGAAGGGCGCAGACTATTACAATGCCTTTAGATGGGCACAGTGACAAACGAGAAGAAGGTGTTGCTCTGGGCACATGCAAAGGTGTGTGTGGAGGACACAGAAAAGCGATGCCCGTCCTGAGCAGAAATTAGTGAGCTGAAGGACAGAAGCAGAGCAGAAGGCACCACAGATGAGATTCCAGAAGGCACTATATGTGTGATGAGCTTGAACTCTAAGTGGAGCAGGCTGGGCTGGAGGGAGACACCATCACGCACCAGGCAGCAGCTGCTCACTCCACCAGCAGGTCAGGGCTGAAGCAGGAGAAGAAAGGCTAGAGGTAAGGGTCAGGCCTCTGAACACTTTGCATGGTAAATTAGACCTTTTTTTTTTTTTTTAGCATAGGAAATACCAAAGGGAGCACAGGAATTAGATTTTTAACAGTTCAGTGAAGCAGACATTACCTTCATTATTTTACAAATGAGAAATCAGAGAAGTAATTTGTATAGTCTTACAGTACTAGGAAAGCTCACATTCAAAAAAAAAGTTTGTTCAACTTCACAGTCTCTGTACTCATATATTCTTTAATCTCGGCCATATAATCAGTGCCGCACAATTTCTTTTTTAATTTTAATTTTTTTAATAGATTGCAAATTGAAAATTGCTGCACAATTTCCTTGGGAGCAGACAATCAGTACAATGGCAGAATATGCTAAATCTAGATTAAGCCAAACCTTTCTGCAGGCAAGATGGCATACTTTCTACCTAAAATGGCATATGTATTTTTGCGTTAGGAATCTTAAATGTAATTCAATTAAATTTATGGAAGGGGGCCTGGGGAGATAGCTCAGTGATCTAACCACTTGCCTGGCAGGCCCAAGGACCCAAGCTCTATCCCTGATACTGCAAGCCATGCCAGCCCTGAAACCTGCAGCATGCTGCTGGCCCCAAAACCAGATGTGGTGGTACACATCTGTAATCCCAGCACTGGGGAGGCTGAGACAGGAGGATCACTATGAGTCTGAACTGCTACCAAGCCTCTGCACCAAATAAATAAATGAATGAATGAATGAATGAATGAATGAATAAATAAATAAATAAATAAAATTCATGGAAGGGCTGGGGCTATACCTCAGATGCACAACACCTGCCTGGCAGCACAAGGTTCTGAGTTTGATTCCTGGTACCAAAATACATAAATAAATGGAAAAATACTTAGAAAAAATACTGTTTTTTAGATGGGCAAAAAATAAAGCAGTATTCTAGGATGTATAAAAATATAATTAAGAGTGAAAAATGAGCCAAGGCATGGTGATACATGTCTATAAATTCAGCATTCTGTGAGGCTGACGCAGGAGGACTGCAAGTCTGACCCTAGCCTGGGGAACTAGGTAACTCAGGGGAACCCTGTCAAAAAATCCCTTCTGTCTGTCTGTCTCTCTCGCGCACATGGACACGTGCACATACACACACACAGAGTAAAAAATGAGAATATGGACAAAATATTCAACAGGAGTTTTTTTTGACTAACTTTAGAAAACCTCAAGAATACTTGGTATTTTAGAGAATATACCAATGCATGCATATTTGAAGTTTAACAAAGCTGAAATAAGCAATTTATGGAAATTTGGAGGACAGGGAACCTTGCTAGATGACACCAAAAGGATGCAATCAACTAAATCTAGACTATAGAAAATAGCTCAGTACTTCCAACACACATCTTTAAAGCAGGTGGAGGTGGTTAAGAAATGGAAGCAGAAGCTACAAATTAAGAAAACTTTAAAATCGTAATTAACCAGTTTTAATATGTGGGCCTTACATGGATTCTGACTTACACAATAAAATGTAAAACAGGGCCAGCCAGATAGCTCAGCGGACTAAAGCGCCTGCTTAGGCAGAGTGCAGTGGTCAGGGTTATATCCTTGGTGTGCCCTGCCGGCCCTGCCCCTGGGGCCTGCTGAGATGGGCGTGGTGGTGCCTGTAATCCCAGCTCTTGGAAGGCTGTAAACAAGCAGATCACTAGAGTCTGATCTAGTAGTGAGACCCTGAACACCCTGTAGACCCTTCACTAAAATACAAAAAACAAAACAAAACAAAAACAAAACAACAACAAAAAGACATGGTGGCACACAAGTGCAATCCCAGTACTCTAGGAGGCTAAAGCAGGAGCATCTCAAGTTCAAGCCCAACTGGACAATTTAAGCGACTCAGCAGGAATCTTGTCTCAAAAAATAAAAGAGGCAGAGATGTAGTCAGTGTGATAGCTGAGTTCAGTCCCTAGTACCACAAACAAGCAAATGCGTAGTCTTTTCAAAATGAGGTAAGGCACAGTTGAAAAGCAGAAGTAGCTGGTTCTAGCTTAGTTTTATTGATGTGATCTTGGCATGTTACAGAATTCTTTTGTACTTATTTATTCACCTGTGAAAAAAATAAAGCAGCCATGTTAGGTAGTGGCTTTCTAAATTTTTTGACCAAGATCCACAGTAAGGCCAGGTGTGGCAGCACATGCCTGTGAACCACACCCATAATCAGTCCCAGCACTTGGGAGGCTGAGGCAGGGGACTCTGAGGCCAGCCTAGGCTACATAGCAAGTTCAAGGGCCGTCTGAAGTACATAGTGAGACCCGGCCTCAAAAACAAAGCAAACAAACAAAAACACACAGTAAGAAATATATTTTAATTGCCAGGTATAGTGATGCATGCCTGTAATATCATGAAGCAGAAAGATTAAAGTAGAGCCCCACCCAGGCAATTTAGTGACACCCTTTTTCAAAAATAAACAATAAAAAGGGCTGGTCAGGGATGAGCTCACAGCAAAGGCTACAAATCCAATCCCCAGTACTAAAACAAAAAATTTATGCATGTCAACTACTACATACAAATACATATATTTGTACACTATATATACACATTGCATTGAATACTATCCTTCCTCCAATGTAATTTGTTGTCCTCTTCCATTAAAAAAGGTTTGTCTGAGTGCATCAAAACTTATTGCTGAAAAAAAAAAAAAAACAAAAACCAAAAACGTATTGCTGTAATGGCTTGAACAGTGGCCCCAAAAAGATATGTCTATGCCCCAATCTCCAGAACCTGTGACTGCAATAATAGTTGAAGAGTCTTCGCAGATGGAATTAATCATCTTTATTGTTGTTTTGGCAGAACCGGGGATTGAACTCAGGCCCTTGTGCTTGCCAGGGAAGCATTTATTCCACTGAGCTGGAATTAATCATCTTTAGATGAGGTCATTCTGGGTTAAATGGATGGGCCCTAAATTCAATGACAAGTGTCCTTATAATATCTGGCCTCTATAACTGAAGGAGGCTGTTATGGTTTGTGTATAGTTGTCCCCCCCAAAGCCTTTTGCAGTCTTGGGGCGGCTTCTGGAGTTTGTGATTACTGTGGGTGTGGGTGCACTTGCCCTGGGGCAGGTAATTTGCATTTCAATGTAAGGAGGAGGAGAAGCTAGCTGCTTGAGCTGCTGCTACTCCCTGGCTCTTGCTCTTTGCTGCCTCCATGAAAAGTTGCTTTCTGCTTTGTGCTGCTCTGCCTCGGACCCAGCTGAATACGGACTGAAACCTACAGTAACTATGAGCTAAATAAATAAACCTTTTCTTACTTCAATTTGGGTGTCAGGTATTTGTCCCAGCAACAAGAGAAGAGCAACTAAGACAGAGGCAAAGAACACATTGTCCCCTAGAGCCTTGGAGGAGGCACCACCTTGATTTGGGATCTCTGGCCTCCACAACTATGACAAAATGAACTTCTGTTGACCTA